GGATTCATCCCAGAACTCTGATATCCCTGTTTTGAAATGCTGGATTAGCTACAGTATTTCATGTAAACCCTGAGTCAGATTGTCTGTAGTCACCATCTTCGTTAACAAAACTGGTTTCTGCCTGCAGCAGGCATATATGTCAGCAGTGCAAAAGTAGCAGGAGATACCTGAAATATGAGAGATGTTTTCTACAGCAGATGAAATCTATTTGTAGTAATGACTAAGCTAGTTGCTATGGGTCATAAAAGTCATGCAGGAACATCTAGGAAGAACAGAACAGCCGACTTTGTAGACTTCCTTTTTTATCTGATTGCAAGTGATTTACATTAATATCACAGCTTTCAATCAAACAGAATTCAAAGACATTACAAACCTTTCCTACCTGATTGCATGACTAGCAGAAAATTGCTTCATTTATCATGCAGTAAAAACTGTGAAAGGTGGTGGTATATGATACGTTAGGACAGCAAGTAAAGAACACTGATTACAGTTGAAACTGCAGGGGTGATGCTAGGATACAGAACTAAATTAACCTAGTTGGAGTTTGGCCAGGGCATTGGGATTCACACCTTAGACTCTGCGTGGGACTTTTAATTATTACAAGCGGTCCAAGAAACAGAATGTGCAGTATTTCCATTCCCTTCCTTCATCCCACAGCCAGGGAGACTGATTGCTCACTGGCCAAGGCAAAGCAAGTGGATCCCCATAATTTACTTAATAACATGGTTTTTTTCCCAAGATCTTCCATGCTGTAGTGTCTATCCTTGCCCTACTTTTCCTACTGTTGTGGGGTTTTTTTGTTACAATGATTATAATAGCTCTTGAGACTTCACTTATTAACAAAAACTGTCCTCTACCAATGTAAATCAACTGTGTCACTCAGGACAGAGGGAAAAAATCAGGATCGTTAAGATTTTAGCATGTGTTTCACTGTAGCATCAGTTTTGACCTTTAGCAATGTGTTTTGTCTCTCATACCGGGGCTTCATCAGTCACTGCTACCGGACAACAGAGAATAGGCCTCCTCACAATGCTTCCTCAGAAACAGGTTCAAGATGGGAGTAAACCTGGGAATAATACAGGGTGGTAATTGGAACTGTAAGGTCGTAATGTTAACATTCAGGCTGCTAAGCAAACTCTTTCTTTACCCCTTTTTTCCATTTCTTATAAGTCATTGAAGTTTACCAGCTGAAGGTGGAATTTCACAAGGTTGTTCTGTTGCCCAAACATGAAGTAGGTTTGTCTTTTCTTTTTTTTTTGATTTTTTTTCCCCACAATGTAAAAGTTTCAGTCATTTTTTTTTTTCCACGAAAGAACATGTAGAAACTATTCCCACTTCAGCAAGAGTATTTGCTATTGCTTTCTGAGCAGCACAACAGCCAAACCAGCAGGGGGGTTAAAAAGTTTATATTTAGCATAAAAACATCTAGCTGAAAAATGCCTTTGAGTGCTTCAGTGGAATCTGATTTTGATTTGACCGAGTTTTGACCCTCAGAAAATTCCACGCATAAGCACAATGCATTCTGTATGGGTGTATTCACTGGGTTTAGAGCACACATGGAGGAGGAAGGCAAGCAATGTTCGCGTGGCTAGCTTACTCCCTTACCCTAGCACAGTGTCTTTAGGGGCTTCAGTCAGGCACTGTGAGCAGGAGCACGGGGCTTGGTGGTGCTTCTCACACATCTGTGACTGAATGTATGCACTTAGTGCTTGCAGTCTTAGGGCCTTCCTGTGTCTTAAGGAATAACCTAGATGCCTAACGAGGTTACAGGGGGCTTCTGAGCATTTTGGGTTGGTCCAACACCCTCTGCCTTATTGGCCAGGGTAAGAATCAGGTCCAGTGAGGGCACCTAGGGTCAGACACAGCCCACTTATCAATGTGTATGTCCATGGTGATGAGGCAGGTCCAAGGTCAAGCTGGGGAGTCAGTCTGCATGTCTGAGTCCACATCAAGTGGGTCCATGGCTATGGAAACAGGAAGGCTGTGGCAGAGCTGGAGACCAGCACTTTACTTTTTCCCTGAAAAGGGGGAACTGTCCAGGGGGTATTTGTGGGGGGGGGCTGGGTGAGGCTGCTCAGGCCATTAAGGTCTATTAGTGCGCTAAGGGCCCTGACAAGGCTTTCCAGAGAGTCTGGGGAGTCCTCAGGTCTGGAGATATTCAAGAGTTGACTGGAGAAGCCTTATCTGTCTTTGAAAATGGCCCTACTTTGAGCAGGGACTTGGAACAGAAACCTCCAGCCTTTCTTCCCAGACTAGTTACTCTGTGATTCTACAAAGCCTGCTGGATTTTCTTCTATATTAGCAGTGCATGCAGGATATCCTGTCACTATGAATGTGACTCACCCAGACCCTAAAGTGTGCGTGAGAGAAAACCGAATAGGTAGCATACACTAGAGGTGATGTACAGCCTTACAGAGCAACAGGCCCAGACGCTGCAAACTCTTATGCACACACTTCACATTCTACCATAAGCAGTCAGTGGAGGTCCTCAGAAAAACAGTTAAGCATATGTGCAAGTGTTTAGAGGACCATCTTGTCACGGAATATTTGCTGGCATTTAGAGTCTATTCATGCTCCAAGGGAAGTCAACTAACTCTCCAGTCTACTGCCTCAGGCCCTGATCTGCCCTAAAGAAAGTCTGCATAGCACACTGTGCACTGTGGCCTTGACTCAGCAGAGCAATTTGGGATGTGTGTCTTGCTGAATCAGAGCTTATGCATCTAGCTGAAATTGCTTTGTAGGGCACAGTCTGGTTCCCACTGAAATACTTGTGAGGCTTTCGGCATGCACTTGAATGAAAACGTGATCAAATCTATGTTCACCTGGTCATCCCTTGAGCTGAGGATAAAAATCACTGCTCTGCTGGTTAAAATGAGAATGCATAGAAGAGAAGCTGCCAATAAAAATGTTACAGTGAGCGCTGTAAGGGAGAAGTCTTTTATTAATGTTTCCTGCAATGTGGATGGACATAGAAGGAGTTAAAAATGGGTACACACTATACATGTTCATCTTTAGGTGTAGAAAAAAAAGAGTGTTCAATTATATAGTATCAGGAATAAAACAGGGAAGGATTTTATAAGGTGTACAAGCTCAAAGGATAGTTTTATGCCTCATTTTGGTGGTGGTATTTCCTGATTGATGAGTATGCAGATATGTCATTTTAATATGCTTTGACAAAGTTGGTTATATAGCATTTATGTAAGAGCCTGATTTTTCTGTGAATTTGTTTTTTAAGTCCAACTGGTGACTACATGCCTGTGTATAAAAGAAGATAATTTATACTTTTAAATCCTTCGTCTTTCTTAGTTCTGAAGTTGTGGTACTGTCTATGGATCATCAGATTTGGAGCCCTTTTAGAAACCGTGGGCATATTTCTAAATCTGTTTGTTAAATCTACTAAACAGAAGAGCTGCCACTGGAGAGAATAAACTTCCTTTTAAAGTATTAGTAAGTATGTAAAAGTGCTCCAAGGCTTAGGAGGCGAAGTCTATTTACAGTTAGAAGATTTGGGCTCTTAGGTGCTTACAGCATTTTTGAAAATGAGACTTAAATGTTTCTAAGTAATTTGAGCACTACAGAAAATCATATCTAATTTCCCTGATTTTGCTCTGACATCAACACGAATCATAAAATGATTTGTTATCTAGATGACAGCAGAACTGGTTGTATGTGGAGCAAATCCAAGAGAAAGAAATGTGATTCAGAAGTGAATTAAATAATTTAATGGCGTTTAAATATAAGAGGCAGTACACATCCTTGTTTCAATGGAATTGAATGCATTGGTTCCATAGTAATTATTTCCAAACTAGACGTTGCTCTCAGCTAAATATTCATCCCCCGGAAACCAGTGGAGCTATATCTGATGTACACAGAGCAGTAGAACCCAGAGTCCATGTGGACTGGCCTGCTCTTGGAAACCATAAATTATTCCTCTGTTGCCACTGGAAGGAGACTAATGGTTCACACTCTCATGGTTCAAACAGTCCCCCAGAATACCAAAATCTTTTTTGAAATTGGATGATTTTGGAAAATATTTGGCAAGAGAGATTAACGACAGACTTCCTCAGCACTTCAATGGATCAGACATACACTAATCCCATCCTGTCTGGAGCAACTTGTCAGCTCTCTTGGAGTGCACTGTTGTCAGGCTCTGGTTTCGCACAATTACTGTTGTGGCTGACAGGAGAAAAGTGTGTTTTCCTCTCTCCACAAGATCTCAGTGGCTCAGCAATCTGTGGGTCAGAAAGAAACAGCTTCTTTCATGGAAGCTCTTCACTCTGCTATGGGTGTATTGCAGACATGCTTTAAAGAGTCAGGATCTCAGGCCTGGCTGGCTCTGTTGCATCTTTAATACTGTCAGCTCTCCCAGAGTTCCTCTGGAAACTCTGCAACATTCAGCTGCCCCTACCCTGTTTCCCCCATGTCCTTGGAGACCCCAGGTGCCTAGTAGGTCATGACACCCTCCTTGGCCCCTCACTTCCAGCTGCAGCACCTTGAGTAGAGGCAGTCAGGCAGCTCCAGGAGTCACAGGACTGGTTCATACAGCATGTGCAGCACAGGTGCCTGCTCTTAGGGAGGGAGGGATCAAAGCTTTGGATGCATAAACCTAAAGTCCTGATCCATCACTGAGAGAGAGCCCTCACAGCCCAGGCTCCCTAAACATTTAAAATGCAGCTCAGTGAATGAGTATAGCAAACAACAATAAACTTAATCATAAATAAAATATAATAAAAACAAATAAAAAAAGCGAAACATTGCGTTTTGTTCACAGTGACGATCCCAGCGGTTCCACAAGCAAGAAAGCCGGGTGTGAAACGGAGGATCCGAAGGAGGCCGGCAGACAGAGTGGCCAGGAAGGCAGGTCCGACACCCTGACGCTAAAAGCCCAGCATGCGGAGCTCCAAGAAGAGCAGGCAGCGGGGTGTTCCCCTCTGGTGCAGAAGGCGAGCCTCCACCACACGGGCTCCCCAGTGAGAGTGCAGCGCAGCAAAGGGACGGCCTCGTGTTCCCATGCAGCTGCCTCCGATTATGAGCTCTCCCTTGACCTAAAGAATAAACAGGTACAGAGGCTTCCTCCTCAGGCTGTGGGAGCAGGGGATGGGGTGGGTGGGACTGCATTCGCACTGTGGTGGGATGTCTTTCAGCAAATACTTTAGCATTTTGTTCACCTGGAACTTTCTCCCTGCCTGAGCAGGCCTGGCCCTTTGGCTATGTGGGGCTGATGGAGGAAGTAACTTCCCCACCTCTGACTGTGGCACCTTTTCACCCAAACTTGCCAGGCTCTGCTCTTTGTTGCATGGGTTCTGTGGTCCAAAATGGACCCAGATACTCAGTTGTGACTGTAGGCTTAGAGTCAGGTTGCAGGCAGCCAAGAGCTGTGGCATCCAGAGATACTGCCTTGCTTACAAGCATACAGTGCCTGCAGGGCTCCCAGCAAGTGATTGTCCCGAAAGACATCCCTCATGGGTCATGGTCTCCAAGAGCCATCTTGCCCTCTTGGATCACGCTAGGTTGCCCCTCAGTGCACTTCCACATTAGCCTCTTCAAAGCATAAGCTTTCAGGGGAAGTGGGGTTCATTCAATGAGTGTCCTGCACAGTGTCTACTGCACAGATGTTTGTATATTCCTACTGTCACTGCCTTCAATCCAGTGATGGATGATGAAGAGACAGGCAGGTTCACTAGGCTGAGAGAAAATGATTCAGTTGCTGAAGTTGCGAGCCTTGCCTCCTGTGCCCGGGACTACAGCCTAGCTCCAGAGCACAAGTGTACCTGTCTCCAGATGCATCTCCTGATGGGCTCCCAGCAGGGAATAGCAGGACAGTGGCTAATAGCAGCTGGCCTTCTCACTCAAAGGCAGTGAAGTGGAGCATGCCCCCCCGCCCCATCTCTGCAAATTACAGCCCAGGAGAGCTGTTTTGCAAAGCAAAACCTAAGAGATTGTTTCTGACTTTTCCCTGGGATGGCAACTCAACCAGAGGCTGTTTGATATGCAGACCCTGCAGTATGTGAGATGAGGAGGACAAGCAAACGCTAGTGACAGCGTGCAGATTACTTTCAGTGGGAGAATTCAGTGGGAGCTGTGCTATTGCAGATGAAGGGTCTCAGCTAATGAGGCTCCCACAGAAGAAGCTGCTGCTTCTGGGACATCTCTCTGCCACTTTCCTCAAGGCATTGCTGCTGTCCCTAAACATACATGTCGGATCCATGGCCCAATAAATTCCTGAGCAGAAAAGAGACCTTGGCACTTTAGCTTTGTCTTTCTCAAAATACTGCATATTCAGCTTGGACAGAATTTTTGCTTCACACCAGGAAAAGAAACCACAGAGACTAATTAACTGGCTTCACAAACTAATGTGACATATCCTCAGGGTGGGCCAGATCTTGGCTGCTATATATGGGCTTAGCCTCCTCGATGTCCTAGAGCTGCTCTGATTTGTCCTGGGGAGTGTCTGTCCTGTGTTATTTTAGCTTTAAGGTAATGTTGTCCTATCACTGTTTTTGCAGCAGAGGCCAGACCTGCCCTGGATACATGTGAGAGAGGGAGACATGTTAGCTGCTTGTTCATTAAATTCTGGTGCCTGACAGTACTGACCTTGTAGGGACCTAGCCTATCTTGTAGGTGAAGCCACTTTTCTCATAGCAAAAGGGGCTTACAGTATGTGTGCTCCTCCAGCCTGATGGATGTCCTCAGTGGATTACCTCCAGCTCTGGAAAGGGAGATTTTCAAGGAGTGAAGAGTATTAAGTCTTCCAGTCTTGTACTCTAGTGTGTGTTTTCATAGGTGTTCCTATCAATTTTCTTGGCAGGTAGTTCTCTTGAATAGGAATAAGGCTGATAGGACCCTCACCTGTCCCAGTAGTTCCCTAGTCATAGCAGAAATTAATAGAACTTACAGTAAGAAAAACAGGTGGAAGGTGACATTTTTAGTCTCACAGTGCAGTTGAAGTCACACTTAATTTTTGGGAACAAGGTAAGGAAGAAGGGTAGTGTACAGTCTCCTCTGCAGGACTTGGAGGTGCAGGTCATCTACCAGTTGCTGCCCCTCAGCATCACCCTAGAGGTCTGGTGAGTAGGGTCATGCCTCTCCCTGCTCTCTACCCCATGAAACAGAGCAGCTGACAGTGCGCAGAGCAGAAGTACAGTATGCTGGGAGGTTGGAAAGGAAACTCAAGTGCTAAAGTTCCCCTATTTTTAGACTATCGTAATGTTGGGGAAAATGGAGGAGATCACAGGAGAGAGGCATGTGCTTGCAGTCATACATACCCTTCCGCTGTGCTGAAGGGCGGCAGATGTCCCATGGGTGAAGGAAAATGTCCCATTAACAGATGGCCCTTATAGCAATGTCCTTCCATTGTAAAAGGCTGGTGGAAGGAATAGGTGTTAAGAATAGGTGACAGAGAACATGAGTGCTCTGTATGTCTTTTTTTAAATTATTTTTTACAATGCATGCATTGACTTGAGTGACTCGGATTCTGTCACTGAGCCTGATTCTCTGCTTGCTAACACGGTGTCATGTTGCCCTGCTCAGTGACAACCTGGGTGGAAAACCAGTGCTCAAAATGCAAGCACATTCTCTCCAGGCAGATTTATTAATTTATGCCTATGGGCAGCAAAGCCATGGGGTGTGCACCTCAAATGTTTGGCCATATCCAGGCCTGGCACTTTGGCTTGCCTTGGGCTGACCTTGTTAAAGCTCCCTTCATGTGCAATTCCTCATGGCAATGGATATTTCCCAGCCATTTCTAATTCAGCCACAAGGCCGGAATTGCTCACACTGAGTGTTCATATTGAGGTCCAGAAATGTATTAAGCTAATTACTCTTTGAAATCCCCCTCATCCCCCTCCTGCTTTTCCCTTCCTTTGGCGCTGGCTGTCGGATCATTCCCCAGAGAAGAGTAGCTTTAAGTAGGCAATTACTTGTGATTCATAGGGTTTATTAGGAGCGAGAGAAGGCCAATCATGTCTGGCCTTTCTTGCCTCTCAAATGGGAAGAGAAGGTTCCTCCAGCAAGCCAGACACACGTCTCCATTACCTGTGATTGCTGTGGTGCTAATGGAAGCCCTTTCCTCCTCTCAAGAGGAAGAAAACAGGCCAAAGCTTTTTGAAATCCTTAATTCCTCTGGAGTGTCAGTTAACTTGACCTGATAGCAAATGTGAATGTCTCAGACATCAGTAAACACTAAATGACTGGGCTGCATCAAGGAGAGAGACAGAGACCCACTTCTACCAAGCAAGGGTGGGGAGGGCACTTCTCTGTGGGGGTGCCACTTCTGGCTTTGCCAGTCTTCTCAAGCATCCTTTGGACCAGTCTCCAGTCCTTGTTATCATAGCTGCAAGACATTTCAGGACTCCCGTTGCTTTGGACAGGGCCGGATGGCAGTGGACCACATGGTGCAAGCTGGAGAACAGACTAGGTTGGGAGTCCTCTCACTTTACATCTTGTTCTGCTCCTTAATGCCTTAGCCCTTTGGGAGGACTGAGATAATGGACTGCAAAAATCTGGTGATGTTTTATCAAGGTACTGACAGCTTGCACCATTCCTTTAGACTTTTAGAAGGATCTCTCCTCTTAGTAGTTGTTAAAGTCTGCCTTTTCGGGAACTCTCCTTGCATGAGATAAACTGGCTTTTTTACTTCAGATCAGCAATGACATTTTGTCTTGGCCTCTAATAAGATCAGAGTATATGAATTTCATGTTTTCAGAATGGCTGTCACCTCCTTGGAAACCTCAGATAATTATAAGTCTCTTGCTTCTGCCTTATTTTGCATTTTACTATTATTCTGTCCCTCAGATAGCTGTGTCTGTCCCTCCCCTTTGTTCCTC